ATAAAAAAGTACTGATATCGAATCATTTATTTACCGCCAAATCATCTTCGAATAAAATAGTATTAAATAATACTATTGTAAAAATGTATTTTATGAATACTCACAAAATAGTTAAATACAAATGCAAGTGTTTTTTTTTTTAATTTTTATACTTTATAATTATAAATCCAATCTCATTTAATACCTTTAAAATGTTTTTTTTATATAATTATATAGCCTTGACAATAATGCTCTTCATAACTACTTTTAGTTAAATGTTAGAAAAATGTCATATTCTAAAATAAACCAAGATTTTGAATTCTTTTTAAATTGAAAAAAAGAATGCAATTTAAGCCCCATTTACACGGTGACAGTACTGCCGCGCCGTGACAGTTCTTTAACATTGACTGTCACCGTCACCGTGTAAATGGGGCTTTAGTGTAAAAAAAAGGTTTTATTCTCATAAAGTCATATCGGTCCTCATAGGCGCCCGCAGAAATTTTTCTAGGGGGGGGGGTAAATGTTAGGATTTGAGGATAAATATTATAATTTTAGTAATTTTACTAGGTGTTTTAAAACAATAACCTTTTTTATTATACTTCAATACTTGTATACAATTTATTATATTTTATTATGTTACAACTTGTTTTATACTTTAAACATTCAATTTAAAAAAATATTTTGAAAAATCCAGTGGGCAAATGCCCCAGCTTGCCCCCCTCTGCGAGCGCCTAAGTCGGTCATTTTATTTCGATATTAAAACTCATAATATGAGTATTTTCATTCGATTCGATACCAAGTAAAAGTATCGATACTTTTCTTTCGATATCACGTCCCTAATAATAATTGTCCGTCTACTACATATAAAATATTTTATATCTGTGACTACAACTTACTCACTTATCTTTTATTTACAACAGTATAGTATCACAGATTATATGATAATTTCATATATTTTATGCACGGACTAAGATATATTATGAATTATGACCAATGAGTAATTAATTAATTAATGACTTAGTAATTAATGACCATTATTGACTCACGTAGTGTGGTAGTCACGTTTCCCGGAGCACAGATACGTCAGATACATCTTCAGGTTACTACTCAGTACTCTCTATAGTACTGAATATCGATTTGAATATACATTCACCATTTTCTTAATATTATGTTCATTTTCATTCCATCATGGTTTATTAAACTTGAGTTATTTACTGGATTTGATAAATAAAAATATTAATGTGATGTAACAATAAAAATTTGTATTATAGTATTTCAATTATAATTTTACTTTATGACTGATGTTATGCTGTGTTATTATTTTATTAATTAAAATTAAGAATGTCAAATCTGTGTAGAGACGATTTTGATTCGGGTCCTAAACATGTATTTTCTATTGAAGAAGGGCTATGGCTAGGTAATAACAAAATTAAATCACATTGTAATGCACATTTTTATGRAAATAATATTAAAAATAATGCTACTATGTGTTTATTATAATGTATTTGTTCGAAGAAACACCTAACTWGTGAAGTTATTGCCTAATTAWATTTTAAATATGTCTGTCTTTATATATATTTAAAATAAACTGATAAACATATTGTTTTAATTCAGGAAACCTAACAGCTGCAATAGATTTATCATTTTTAAGAAGCAATGGAATAAACTATATAATAACGGTGGATTCTTGTCCATTGCCGGAAATTATATTAGATCTGAGAGACATAAATGTTAAATATATACAAGGTAAATACATTTTTCTAATAAATCTTAATTTGAATTGTTTTAACTCTAACCAGTGGCGTAGCCAGGATTTTTTTTAGGGGGGGGTTTTAATAACAGAATACATTTTACCACGACCAAATGATTGTATTCCTATATTATAAACATTATATTTTTGATATAAATACGGCTGAGGTKGAGGGTTATAACACCCAAAACCCCCCCCTGGCTACGCCACTGACTCTAACCTAATCCATCTATGTATATTTTATATTCAATGAGTTATTAAATCGCATCCCCATTAAGTAGATCAAATAATTTAGATTATGCGGTATTCTTATTATTTAGTTGACCATTATAAGGTTTTAAATTTAATCATTTAAATTACACGTGCTTACAGTTACTGATATGGAAGGAGAAGATCTTTTAAGCCATTTTGATAGCGCATATGAGTTCATAAAAAAAGGTCAAGAAACAAGTTCTGTTCTTGTGCATTGGTGAGTACAATTATTTATTTAAGTATTAATGTTATAAWCTATTCAAATTTTACTAAACCATGTAAAAAAAAAAAACGTATTGTTGTACTGCTTTCAGCTATTATGGAATATCCAGGAGTGCATCAATTATTACAGCTTATATTATGAAGAAGTATAAAATTAGTTTTGATGATGCTTTCCAAAGGTATGTAGAAATATATTTATTAGGTAATGATAAATAAATACATTATGACTGTCCAACTTTTTTTGACCYTTCTTAGGAGAAATATTATGGACTAAGCATATTTGAAAAATGGTCTTCATGTGTATTTAAAAATTTCAAAAATCTGTATTTTAATAAATGCATAATTTAACCATAAAAATAGGATGAACATACTTAGAAAATCAGCCTGTATATAGATAGTCATTGTTATTTATTATGAATAAGATTTCAGTTCATAGCTTGTGTAGCTTTCTGTTGTAAATATTATATTATATACCTATAGCTGTTCATTGATTATAAATAGTTGTAATTTATAATCAATAATAYGTTTAATTACCTATTCTATTGACTGTCAATAGTTATGGATAGAAGGATGAATGTAAACATATTTTATTACAAAATGTTCATAACTTTATCTCCACCGTTGTGTTAGGGCATTGAACTTGACTGTGAGCATATAATTTATTCTAACATTTCTGAAATTGATTTCAATAGTTATAATAAGTGATTTCAGTTTATTTTATTTCAGTAAAT